AAGAAGAAGAAGAAGAAGAAGAAGAAGAAGAAGAAGAAGAAGAAGAAGAAGAAGAAGAAGAAGAAGAAGAAGAAGAAGAAGAAAGGGAAAGTGCAAATGACCTGAGACTATGGGATGTTTGGCCTGTTCCCAGATGTGACAAGGAAGCCATTTTGGTCACAGGTGTGGCAGGAAAGATGACAGTCTGTGAGGCGCAGAGAAACAAGACTGCAGGAATCTTTGGAACTGTGGTACCAATTGTATTTATTCTAAGACAAAAAGGCACGGGGACTGCCTTTTTCACTTATATTTTAAGATATCATTTTACTTTCTGTATTGATTTAAAAAAAGACTCAAGAGAGAAAAGATACAAGCTGAGAGTTAAGTTAGGAGCCGTTACACTGGGTAAATATGAAGATACCTTGGCTTAGGTTAAAAAATGGTCAATGGAGAAAGTGAAAATTCATCTTGTTGTTGTGACCAAAAAGAAAAGAAAATAAGAAGCTGCCCTTGTTGATTGGGATCTCCACAATGATAAGATGGGATTGATAATGATGCGGGTGTGGGGGGGAACTGTGTGGGAGTGGGTTAAGCAAGGATGAAGAGGGTACAGTTGAGATCACAGAGAGGTCTGCCGACTAGACATCGGGGGATATGTCCAGTACTGAGAACACGGAGAGGTATGCCAACTAGACATCGGGGGATATGTCCAGTACTGAGAACACAGAGATGTCTGCCGACTAGACATTGAGGGATATGTCCAGTACTGAGAACACAGAGAGGTCTGCCGACTAGACATTGAGGGATATGTCCAGTACTGAGAACACAGAGAAGTCTGACTACTTAGATATTGGGGAATATGCCCAGTACTGAGATCACAGAGAGGTCTAACTACTAGACATTGGGTGATAATGCCCAGAAGATAATCACACAAAATTGTCAGGGTTCAGGAATTAGGCCCAAGTGAATATGTCACATTTTGGAGTCAGAAAGCTACACACAGGACTTATAACAAGGTAAAGGATAGAGTCAAGTAGAAATGAAATTAAGCAAAAATGGAGATTGAGCCTCCAGCTCTTCCAATATTTGGATTCTGTAAAATATGATGGATCAGAAAAAGAACTTGGGAAGGAAAGAAAAAAAAAAGAATCAGAATCCAGCTAAAGAAAGCACTTCAAAAGTCAAAAGATTACTTTTTTTCAAATGCCTAACAGGCTAAGATGGGGACCTAAACAGCTCAGCAATGGCAACAAGGCAGCTCTAGTTTATCTTGAGAGCATAGGTTTCAGTGAGTTGTTGAAAAAGAAAGAATGACTTAGAGTAAAATCATAAAGAGCTGGAATAAAGAAAGCAGGAACCTTGGATATCAACAACTCAATGTCTGCTGAAAAGGAATTAATAAAAACTGGTAACTCTTCACAGATAAATGTTGGAGGAGTTTTTTTTCTTGAAGAATTGTAGCATATTTGTAAGAGAAGAGGATAATGTCACAGAAAAACACTAGCGGATGGCAGAAGTGACAGAAGGGCTGTGGCTGTAAGGGCTGTCCTTCCATAACTAAAAGGGAGGTAACCCATGTCCTCACCACAGGACTAAAGTTAAGTTAAACTCAGTAGGAAAGATGAGGTATGTGTGTAATGCAAAGTGGCTGGTAGATATTATGATGGAAAATTGGGAAACTTTTACTTCCTTTTTTTTTTTTTCACAGAAATACAAAGCAAGGATGTCAGGCAAGACTAAACAGAAAGGTGACATTAGGTGTCCTTTTTCTACCATTTGAAGTATAACTTACAAAATAACAATAACAAGGAAAACAGAGTTGTTGACATATTGTTTTGTGTATTTTGGTAGTAGAGAATATTTGTACAGACCAGACCACTTGTTAGTACCTCAGCTCTCTCTAAAGCCGGTCTCTGTTTGAGCTTACTCTTTGAGCAGAGATGTAAAGTTTGTTTATCTCAAAAGGCAATCATTAAATTTAGAAAATAAGAAAAAAAGAATAAAGTTTTGTTCTTAATGAAAATCACTTAAGATATGCTGTAGTTCAGATGAGCCTGAATGATAGCTTCAGAAACTTGCCCTCTTGCACGGTGACAGTAAGAACCAATGGACCTTGAAGAAACGGGACCCAGTGAGACATAATTAAGTCAATGGTGATGTTGGTCTCACAAGCAATCAATGTAGCATGTAATTTCTATGGAATTCCAGTTAGATCTTAGAAGGGATGGAATGTTATGGAATGCCCTTCCAATTCACAGCCATGTGAGTGCTCATTCTTGTGCACAATCCTGCTATGATATTCTCTGTCATAATATAATGCACAATTGACAAAATGCTGTTTAGAGTTCTAGGCACCAAAGTTTTGAGCTAAGTAGTTATCTTTTTCTTATGTGACACTCAGCTTCAAGCATTCTGTTGCAGTAATGGAAAACAGACTTTATAAGGACACGAGCCATGCAATAAACACACTTTCATAAAAAGCTGTACTAATGTGTTCATATTTTCATCATTCATCACTTATTCTTGAATGAGCATGTATTGTGCCTTTAAAATGCCTTAGACCCTGTGAGCAGCCTGGGGAAATGACAGACATTAAGTCATAGTCACCAGATTGTAGTGAAAATCAGTGTGCTAAGAGTGGACAAAACACAACTTTCCTTTATTTGATCATCTTTAGTGACCACCCTTGCTGGGTATCTTTGAACCTTACCCACCTTAGTTCTCTGCCCTGTTCTTCTCATAAGCACAATTTAGTTCTTCTCATAAGCTTGTTGCCATGGCTATTACTGGAACATGTTCAAAATGCAAGAGCACACAGAACAGTGAGCCAGTTGCCTTGACAAAAAGCTAATGGGACAGCCAAACAGACAAAGCCTTAAAGGGTAAGTGGAAAATCCAATCACACAGAATATCTCAAAGTCAGCAAATGAAGTCCTAGAGACTGGAGTATGGATGAAGAAACGAAGAGTTACTTGCTAACAGCTATCGTCTTTTTCTTCAGATGAATAGGAATCACTTTGCCTGGGAAAGTTAGGGGTATTTTTAGTGTTGGGGGGTTGTTTTAGAAAGAAAAAGAATTATATATTTACAGCTTGTTTCAGATGTAATGTTTAGGTAGTGCTGTGAAAGTGGATGAAAGAAAGTGAATGGGTAAGGTGTGCCATATTATGGTTGAGAGGTCCTGTGACTCGCTCTAGAACAGTGGTTCTCAACCTTCCTAATGCTGTGACCCTTTAATACAGTTCCTCATGCCGTGGTGACCCCCAATCATTTCACTGTTACTTCATAAGTGTTATTTTGCTACTGTTTTGAATTGTAATGTAAATAACTGATATGCAGGGCATCACGGCCCACAGGTTGAGAACCACTGCTCTAGATCATGGGCAATTATGGGAGAAAACATGAATGGTACAATTTTTGTTTGTTTGCTTGTTTTCTCCAAGTGTGCGACTGACAAGGCCTGCTGAATGTTTTGCTACACAGCGTGGAGAAACACAATGGAGTGACAGTTTCAGAAGCTTCTTTGTGTATTCCTGGGTGAAAAGTAGAAAGTGACATAAATAACAGAAATCAGAATTCCAGGAGAAACTGAAAACTTCCCTCTGTTTGCCATTTTCTTCCTTCCTTTCAGGAGAAAAGGTAATTGGGCTGGAATCGGGTCTGATGTTTGGTTTGTGGGTGTGGACTGGACAGTGGAAATAAACAAGGACACTGCTCAGGAGACAGACACCAGAAGTTTTCATTGCAAAGTGCCAGTTAAAGCCTTGCGAGATGATGAGCCTCCAGGTGGTAATATCTGCAGTAAGACAATGGATGGAGGATGCCAGTAACTGAGAGGTCAGCCAGATGAAACCGGGAGAGAAGGACTTAGGGAATTTCCAAGTATTCCAAGACAAAGCTCCTCCACTAACCCTGAGTCACACAGTGGTGACTTTTTGAGTTCAGCTTCAGAGGACACAGCACATATAGGAGAATGGAGACAAAACAACAAGTGTATAAAAATAATAAAGATTGGTCACAGATATTATGTACCCCAAGATACGGAGTAATGATTAGGAAGCATCACCCTGAGGTAGGTAATAAAACGGATGAGGTTGGAGAGATTTTACACTCCAAACAGCTATCTCCTGCAAAGCTAGGTTATATATCGTGGTAGATGGCACACTTGTGGCCAAATAAGAAAATGGAATATGAGGCTAGAGAATAAAGTCCAATGATGCACTCGGTTACAAGACCCTGGTCTTCTTTGTGAAAGAAAGTATGTTCTAAAATGCCAAAGCATGAAATAGCCACTGCCTAAATGCCCTCTTGAAACTGAAATAAAGAAGCAAACACAGAATGCAAAGCTTGTCCTGAGTCCTGGGCTCTGTACTAGGCATGGAAAGAGGAATGTGTGGGTAAGAATGTCTGGCTATTTTCTCTGTGTGCCCAGCATTAAGAAGAAGCTGCTGTGGATATGATTGTCCAGATCTACTGCATTTTGTTTTCTTTGGCATGTTTTCTGTAAATGTAAAAGCAACAGTATTTGTGTGTCACCTTCTCTGTGGTTTTTAACCTCCACTACCTCATGGAATTGATAGTACTATTTTGATCATTATAACGATGTGGAAAATGAGCCATGGAATGAGGTAGTTCCTTCGTTATCTAGAGTAGGTACAGGCTGAGTCAGGATTTAATCAGATTCGGGTATTTGATCTCTGTGACCTTCTGCAATATATCAACCTATTTGCTCAGTAAACAATGTCTGAGCCTATAGAAGATTCCTCTAATTTGTTTATTAGCTGAGTCGGTTCTCATTTAGTTACATGTATCAAAACTGAGAGGGACCATCTTTATGGGTTCACATTTAAAGTTTGAATAAAATAAGAAGCTTTTATTTCATAAAATTTAAACTATAATAAACACAAAAAATGATAAAGGCAGAAAGCAGCCTTGTAAATAGCAGAGGACACTCTCTCTAAAATCCCATGCAAGATGGTGTAACAGGAGCATAGAGATTCCTCACACATTCTAAACACTATGTTGGTGATATGCCTGAAAGGAAGCATTAAAAGATGTTAGAATTGTCTCTGTAGGTTTCCCCATCATAATCTTGATGCCCCCTTGCTGATAGACTTTCTCTTCCCTCTCTTAGACTGGACTCCTGGAGCTCAGCCTGGTGCTTGGCTGTGGATCTCTGCATCTGCTTCCATCAGTTACTGAATGAAGGCTCTGTGATGCAACCGAAGCGAGCTCGTGAGAACTCATGAACTTTAGACCAACAGCTGTGGAGCCTGCATGGTACCAGATTAGGCCCTCTGCATAGGTGAGACAGTTGTGTAGCTTGGTCTGTTTAAGGGGCCTCTGGCAGTAAGATTGGAATCTATCCCTGGCTTTTTGGAGCCCACTACATATGATGGGACATCTTGCACAGCCTTGATGGGGGTGGGGAGGCTTAGACCTGCCTCAGCTGAAGGTACCAGGCTCTGCTGACTCCCCATGGGAGGCCTTGCTTTGAAG